CGCGGGGGTCCGAGGGGACGGTGACCCCCCCTCGGGAAGCGCTCGGAGCCAGAGCAGGAGAGAAAAGGCCAGACTCGCCTTAGGCAGCTCCGATGAGGGCTCCGGGAGCAGCGGGGCAGCCCCGGCCGGAGGGGACGCGGTGCGAGGGCGGGGGCGGCGGGAGGTGCGCTGGGGGGGCCATGGCTTCCGTTCGCAGCGGGCGGGTCACAGGGACACACGGGCGGCCGGGACCTCGGCACCCTCCCCTGCGACAGTCCCCAGGGGCTCCGCTCAGATCCGGGGCAGCAGCTTCTCGATGAATTCCTTCACCGCCATCATCTCCTGCGGGCAGCGCACAGCCCGTCACTCCAGGGCTCCCCAAAGGCCGGGCTGAGCCCCGGGAATGAGGCACGAGGCTCTGCAGCCTCCCAGAGCAAGTCGGGAACAAACAGATCTCGTGTGTTCCCCACCCTGCCTGAGCTACAGTGCTGGGGTCAATCCCAGAGACCCCAAAGGGAAGGGACACACCAGGATCATCCAGCCCAGCCCTGCACAGACCCCGCAGTGATCCCAGCCTGGGCATCCCAGGAGTGCTGTCCCAACACTCCCGGAGCTCTGGCAGCCTCAGGCCGTGCCCATTCCCTGGGGAGCCTGGGCAGTGCCAGCACCTCCGGGGGAAGAACCTTCCCCTGAAATCCACCCCAACCCTCCCCTGTCCCAGCTCCAGGCCACTGCCATGGGTCCCATCACTGATCATCCCTCCCTCCACAGCCAGCACTGACCTGAGGACAGGAACTGTGCATCACTCCGGGGTAGGTTTTGAACTGCACCTTGGTGGGGGTGACGACAGACTTGAGCTTCTCGGCAGTGAGGGCCCCGAAGCGCACGGGGATCATGGGATCCATCTCCCCGTGGCACTGCAGGATGGCGATGTCCTTGTTCACGCCGTTGTTCGCCGCCTGCCACGAGGAGGGGAGGTGAGTGGGAAACCAGGGGGGCAGGTGCTTTGTGCCCCCCAACACATGAGCCAGCAGCTCATGAGAGGAGAAATGCAGAGCTGCAGGGGGAGAAGGCGAGGGTCCCTGCAGTGGGGTACCTGTGGGAAGGCCCTGTGGAGCGGGAGCCAGCAGCTGAGCGCCACGATCCCGGCCAGCTGGTGCTGGCAGGTGAGAGCCGTGTACAGCGACAAGGCACCGCCCTGCAGGGAGGAACGTGGAATCAGTGCCACGGGGAATGCAGGGCCACCCTCAGCTCACACAGCCACCTGGGACAGGTGGAGCAGGAATTGGGGTCCTGGTGCTCACCTGTGAGAAGCCCCCCAGGATGATGCGGTTGGGGGGGATCCCGTTCTTCATCTCGTGCTCGATGATTGCTTTAACTGGAAGGGGATGGGAGGGTCAGTGTAAGGACAGAGGGGCTGAAAGGCACCACCCAGCACCTCAGGGTGCACATCAGGGACAGGAAGGTGCCACAGATCCCAGAGGAAATGTTGGCTGGGATCACAGGACAGCAGAAACAAAGGAGAGGTGGAAGGAAGGCTCCAGTCACAGGGAGGGAGGGGCACACAGTGCTCTCCACTACCCCCTCCCCAAAGCTCCTTACTGTTTTCTGCAGCTTTCTTGATCCCAGCTTCATCCTCAGGTGCATCTGGAGTCAATCCCATCAGGTCAAACCTGGGAGAAGCAGCAGGATCAGCCAAAACCTCTCCCAGCACCCTGAGTGTGGGGAGGCAGGAGCTGGGTGTGCTCTGCCCTTCCCTGGCCCTCACAGGGCAGTGGATTTTGTCTCCCCATCCCTCTCCCTCCCCAAAGGGTCCCACCCAGCCCTGTCCCCCAGAGCACTGACCAGGAGGGCATGACCATCTTCATGTTGAGGGTGACCGGGATCCGGGGCCTGTGGAGGGACATTTTGGGTGGTTTAGCTGAAGTCTGAGGGGAGCAGCAAGACTGACACTTCTGCCCTTCCTGCTGGGGATGCACAGGGAGCTCCAGCGCCTTTGTCTTTCCCCGCAGCCACCAGGGATAAACACGACAGAAGAGGAAAGCAAAGAGCCTCTGGTTCTGCTCTGTGGGAACAGCTCTGCCTGCAGCAGGAACTGAGCAGGGCAGCAGAGCCAGCCTGGCTGGGCAGCCCTGCTGGGCTCAGGCCACCACCTGCCTCCCCCAGGAGCCTTGGCAGCCCCAGTGACCCCAGGAGCCCTCCCAGGGCAGCACTTACGCGTGAGGGCAGATGTACTTCACGTAGGGGAGGCGGATGGAGGAGAGAGCATCGGCCCAGCTGTGCCTGGGGAGGGACAGGAGAGACGAGTCCAAGGCTTGTCCAAGCCATTTTCCCAAGGCTGCTGCCCCCCAACCCCTTCCCTAAACTTATTTTATCCACCCCATCACCGATCCCATCTGAGAGGAGCACACAAAGCCCTGGAGGCTTTGGATTCTGGATTCCCACCAGGGAGGTGGGAATCTCCTGGACAGGGAGGAGCCCTTTGTCACCACCATGGGACCTCTGAGGTGGCCTTGTGCAGGCCCAGCCCAGCTGCCAGCCCTGCCAAGGCCTGGAAAAGCCGCAGTGCTTATCAGCAATCCCTGAAGGCAGCACAAAATCCACCCGCGGGGGGTGGGGGGCTGCCAGGCTGCCGGCATCATAAATATTCAAGAGCAGACAGCTGCTGGCAGCAATTCCCTGCCATTCCATGAGAGGCTGGTGCAGGAATGGCTGCAGACCCCAGCCCAAAGCCCCACACAGATCCCAGAGAAGCCCCCAGGGAAAGCAGCAGCAAAAGGCCAGGATCTGTGTTTGACAAACCACACATCCCAGCCGGAGCCAGCTCCAGGGACACTCACCCCGTGTCTCCAAGGCCATGTAGGAAAATGACCTGTTAAACAGAAAGGGAAGGGAATGAGCTGGTGTGTGAGAGTCGTGCCCAGGGAGGGAGCAGAGCAGGGCAGGGCTGGGCTGGGCTGGCAGGGAGGTGGCAAATGGACACTTAGTCACCAGCTCGAAGAGGCTCAAATTAGCTTGGAGCAGGGCGGATGGGTGGGTCAGGGTTGTGGTGTCATCCTGCCACAGAGCTGCCACAGGCAGGTCCCAACTCCTCTGCACAGCAGAGGGACAAGGAGTGACAGATCATCCCACCAGGAATGGCACCAGAGCAGAGGCCCAGCCTGAATCCCAGAATGGATCTGAAAGCCCATCCAGTGCCACCCCTGGCACGGGCAGGGACCCCTTCTACTGTCCCAGGCTGCTCCAAGCCCTGTCCAGCCTGGCCTTGGACATCTCCAGTGATGAGGCAGCCACAGCTTCTCTGGGCACTCTGGGCCAGGGCCTCACCCCCCTCCTAGGGAATTCCTTCCCTGTATCACTATGAACTCACAAATCCACCTCACAGGCTTTTCATCTCCAACTCCAGCAACCCCTAAGCCTTGGGGAGCAGAGGGAAGGCAGCTTGCAGACCCCAGGGAAGGACTGGAGTGGTGGGGGGGGGGTTGTCCTTGGGGAAATCTGCTTTTAAAAACTTAAACATCCCAATCAGCCCCAACTCCCACTGCCTTGAGAAGCTGAGCAAACAGCCCAGCCCAAGGACAGCCACAGAGCCCTTGCTGGCCCTGCCTCCCCCATTCTGGAGCCCTTGGAAGCAGCTCCCTGTTTTTTGGGAGAGGGAGGGAGGGAGCAGCCCTTACCGCGGCGGTCTCCCGCTCTGCCCCTGACACGGTGACAGCGTCGGCGAGGAGGGGGACAGACATGTTGTTACCACACATACACCGAGAGGGATCGACACTGGCACCTGTGGGACACAGAGGTGAGGCAGGAAGACAAACCTCTCACCCCTCCCCTGCAGCAGCTCCTTCATCCACAGGAATGGGGGAAAACTAAAGAGAAGGTGAAGGCTTTGATGTTGAAGCCCCTGGGACACCCCACAGCGTGGCCTGGCAGTGCTGGAAGAGTCCAGGAGCAGCCAACGCTCCCTGCGTGGGGTGCTGGAAGTGTTAAAATTAGCCTGGAAATTACACCTCAGAGCCAGAGTTATTCCTGTGGCTGCAGCGGCGTGGGCAGAGGGCGGCCGGGCAGCACAGCCTCAGCATCTCTTCATTCCTGCATCCCCTCATTCCTTCCTGGAGCTGTGCAGGAGCCTGACCCACATCTGCTCCGACCAGGAAGCAGGAAACCCTTGGCATGCGGCAGCACAGGCTCTGCTGCACCAATAAAAGTCCAGCCCTGTGTTATTTGGGCTGTTTAGGATGAAGCAGAGCACTGGGAGCTGGTCTGAGCCCCCCCCCAGTGATGGATGGCACCCTTGTGCCTCCCCAGGACAGCAGGCAGGGTCACCACCGCTGTCCTGTCACCTCCCAGATCCCACAGAGCTGGCAGCACCCACAGCCTTCAGCCACAACAGTCCACGGTGTTTGATCCCACTACATCACAAATCACAGCTCCAGCTCCCCACAAGGCTGCCCTGACCCCACTGACCCACCAGCACTAATTAGATCAGAGCTTGTTTATGGCACTGCCATTATCCCCTAGGAACAGGATCAGCCTCTGGAGCACGATCACAGAATATCCCGAGCTGGAAGGGATGAAGGATCATCCAGTCCAGTCCCTGGCCCTGACACCCAATAATCCCAGCCTGTGCATCCCTGGCAGCGCTGTCCAAACACTCCTGGAGCTCTGGCAGCGTCGGGGCCGTGCGTGGGGAGCCTGGGCAGTGCCCAGCACGCTCTGGAAGAAAAACCTTTACCTTCATATCCAACCTAAACCTCCCCCGGCACAGCTCCAGCCGCTCTCAAGGTCCTGCCCCTGTCAGAGATCAGAGCTGCCCCTTGGGAGGCCTTTCCTCATCCTCCTCACTCCGCTCCAGCTTCACCTCCCACAGCAGCACCATCCCCGGCTCGGGGCGACACAGGATCACCCCAAACCCTGCCAAAAGCCCGGAATGCCAGCAGCCAGCCTTACCCACGAGAAACAGCCTGCTCCTTCTCCCAGCCCGGCCAAGACCTGCCTGACTCGTTCCACCGACTGCTCGTCAGCGGCTTCCCCACTCAAATAAAAACACCGGGAACAAGCAGCTCCCCGGATCTGACACAGACACACGGCCCACGTGCTCGTGTGTACTCCAGGGGCAAAACAAGCGGCCAGGAGAGACCGCACCTGCCAAAAACCCTGGCGGGGAGAGAGAGAGAGAGAGCCAGAAATAACAGCATCTTCCCCTGGCAGCTGATGGGATGCGCTCCTTGCTGGGGAGGCTCCAGGGAAAGGAGGGCTTGGGATGCTCAGGGCTGCCCCAAACAGCCTCCTGGGAATTGCTTGGGATGTTCCTGGAGGGAACACAATGGGAACCCCCAGGATTAACACCCCTCGTGTGCATCTGGGTGGGTGTAAAGGCGCAAACACAGAAGCAGGAGGTGAATTTGGATCCGATCTGGAGGTGCCGCACCCCAAGGAGACCCCACCGGTGACACCGGCCCGCTGAGGGGGGGACGCGTTCATCAGTCATTAATTAGCATTAATTACCGTGCCTCAGCCTCTCCTCGAGCCCGCAGCCCCGCGGGGAGCGGAATCCAGCGGGGGGATGGAGAAATCCCGCCTGGAAGCGGATGGAGGCGGGATCCCCGCGGCCGGGAGCGCCGCTTTTCCGCCAAAACCGGGGCTTTCAGAGGGGGGTCCCCGCAGGCTGCGAGTCCTGAGGGC